TTGATTAAGGGTTGATATTTTTTGATTTGGTCAACTTTTACCTCAAAAATATGGACCAAATCGAAGACATGTTTGGTTTTAAAATCAAAATTAAAAAAAAAAAACTAAATTTGGATACCAAACAACCCTTAAAAGTCTGGCTACTTGCGTAGCAACTAGTACTATCTAAGGGGTTATCAGGGTTGAGCCTTGAGATTTGACAGTAGACTTAAAAAGCCACCTACAGACGCTTTACGCCCATTCATTTCGGGTAGCGCTTGTATCCTCTATGCGATGGATAGACTCCTACAACCATGATATATTTGCTTATTTGGACATAAACATGTTAGGGTGACTAAATTTGTAGACTAAATTTTGTAAGCTAAATGACATGGAAGTTGATGATTGGACTCTTATTTAAGGGTCGATTAACGTGCTTATTTCTTATTGATGATACATAATTTAATTTGCAAATTTAAGATACAAATTTAATCTATCTAGCATTAATCTTTCTAAGGTCCTAATTTGTCTTACGTGGTACCCCAACCGCTTTCAAAATTCAACCCTTGTGATATGACCATCCAGTAGTATTTCATCACTCGTAATTTCTATGAAAGAAATGTAGTGATCGTTTAACGACCCGTCCCCAAAAATCATGGTTTTATAATTTTAAAAAGTGAATTTACAAAAATGCCCTTTGAGGCAAATACATTGACTTATGTTGACCACCTTGTTGTGCCGCGTAAGGTTCATTTTCTTGGTGTAATCTTGTAGTACTCGTCACTACGAATGCGTGGGAGTAAACGGAACGTGATTTGGAGTTATAACGAATGAGATAAAATCGAGGGCATTTTAGTAAATTGAATATTTTCTAGAAGGCTCCAGATTTTTAGAGCAAAATCTGGAAAGCCACGTGTGTGGCCCAAATTAAAGGAAAGAAAAGATGGACGGTGGAGATAGAAGATAAAGGAGAGAAAGGAGGGAGAAGTAAAGGCCAATCGAGAGAGGAGAGAAAAGAGAATCAACCAATGGGAGAGAGGAGAAAGGAGAGAAAGGAGAGAAGGGGAAAAGGAGAGGAACCCGCCAGGTTCCCCTTGACCCATACCCGACCTGGTGGCACCCATGCTTTCCAATGCCATTCAGGCAATTTTCCTACTAATCATACCACGCAACCACCTGGAATCAACTATACGACCCTTCTTCTTCAAGTTCCACCCCAAACCCGACGGTTTTTGGTCTTGGTTTCATGGGAATGGTACCGGCGGCACTGTGGTGTACTTGGTGGCAATCTGCCAATTTTTGAAGTAAATTCCTTCGATCTCTACCACCATTAGACTCTCCTTAAACCCAGGAACAAACCCCAACCAACCATTGAGGCGGCGGAACACTGGAGCAGTCGAATCAAAGCACACCCAAATCCAGGGTTCAGACAGGTTTGAGTGAAATTAATCCTTTCAAGGACAAATTGGCCTTAGTCACAGGTATAAAAGTTGTTCCTCTCATCGAGATCTTCATTCCTGTAAAATTTGGAAAATTTTCAAGTTGTTGGATTTTCCGGCAAGTCAGGGTGGCCGACCGCCACACGCAGCGGCGCGTGGGGAAAAACCCAAGGTTCCTCGTCATGCCGAATTCGAATCCGCCATCCATTTTCCAAAATTATAACGTTTTAGTAGAGTTTTACTCTAGGGTCCATATTTGTGTTTAGGCGCGTTAGCGGGAAATGATTACATCCTCGATAGTTTGAGCGGCTTCGGGCAATGCAAAACTAATGAGTGGACCCCTTCTAAACTTATATGTTTTTATAAAATATTAGCCTAGCATGCATTTCATATGTCGTGCATTTAATATGTTTTACAATACGTTTTTCTGGATTTTTATAATTATGATTTATCGAAATTACGTTTTACTAAAGAGTGTGAATTATTGGATTTACATGGTTTTCGAATATAATTTATATTATGGATTTATGAAATATGGTGGATTTACGAATATGGATTTATTATGGTAATGATGATGGTTTGAACTAGAAAGTTATACGATTTTATGATACTTTGAGTATTTGAACTCCGAGATTTAATATGAGTTTTTGAGACATGTTTTTAGTACGTATCTAGTGGGTTGTCATACGGCACACCCGCACACCATGGGTATTATGTCTATGGCCATAGGAGATATATGATGGAGGAGTGAGTTATGATATATATTATACCCCCAGCTTCATCGCCAAAAGCAATGTTGGACAGCTTCACTAGCCACGGCTAGTGTCAGTGTGGATGTATGTTATTTTATTCAGCTTCACCTACGGGTGATGGACAGGTTATACAGCTTCACCTTTGGGTGATGGACTGTTATTCAGCTTCACCTTTGGGTGATGGACAGGTTATTCAGTTTCACCTTCGGGTGATGGACATATATTGCCTTCGGGCGACTATGATACCCCTAGTTGAGTACTTCATTGATGAGATTTACGGATTTGCCTTCGGACGGTGTTTTTAGCATCATTGGGCATGGTTTTACATGTATCGATTTTATGAATGTTTTTCATGGCATGCTAGGGTTTTAAAAAATCTATTATGTAGCATTATATATGTTTTCAAAACAAGGGGTTACTATGTTCAGAAATAAAATATATTCCTATTATTAGTATTATTATTATAAACTCCGGTCCACTCATCTGTTCTTGTTTGGCGCCCCCTTAGGAATTAGGATCGAGACACATGATCCTGACGTCAGGGCACTTCGGCTTAGTTATCCTCAAGTCTTCTCAGTATAGGTATCATTTCCTTGTTCATATCTTTTCTTAGTAATCCTTTCATATTATTCTTAATAGTTGTATGCTTTGAACACGATTCTGCATCGGTTTATATCTTTCTAATTAAATATTTTATCGGTATGCATGTTTTTAATGACTTCGTCACTCTCAAGAGTCGGTCAACACGTGTCTATCCTGGTATTTGGGGATATCAGGTTGGGGCATGTCAGATCAGTTCACCATTTGTTTTAGCATTTCATAACTCGTAATTCACATCTTTCTAATTTTAGAAAAAACATGATTAGCATTTCATCATTTGTTTTAGCATTCAACGTTACACATGATACATATAGAGAACAACATGATTAACAGCACTTGGATTACCCTAATTCTCCATTAATGTTACGGAAGATATCGGTTCACCATGCAACAGTTACACAGCCAGCAGTAGCAGCAGCCCACTATCGTTGCTATAATGAAATTGAAAAATGAAAACTAAATCTACAAGGTTTAAAATTGAAAAAGCAAGGACACTACGTACCATATATCGTGACATCGTTTGCGTAAGAAAGAAAGGCACTACTACTAAGTACCAAGTAATTTGCATGAAATGAGTTTACAGTACAAACTTACAGAAATACACAAGTACCAAGTAACCAATCTTGAGGATTTTTAACCCTAGCACAACATTTACGTGAATCTATCCTCATGTTAAATGTACAATTCTAAAACGTCTTTAAACAGTAAGTTGTAATGGACAAAACAAAAAAGTTTGCATGACAGGAATTAGAGTGTTTTTTTATACACTCAAATTTTGTGTCTGAAAACTCTTATTTTCTTTGGACACTCAATAATTTGCTGAACTTTCAAGAATGCCTTTCGTTTACTCTCACATATTTATTTGAGCTTCCACCGCCGGCACCGCATCCTCGGCCTCGATCTTCAACGAATCTTCAAGAGCCTCAGGCTAGATCTGGTTCTGGGCCTTGTACGTTCCCCTGGTGACTCTGGTCGTCCTCTCCGCTCCCGCCACCCCACGTCTCTTCGCCGTCCTCGGAGGCATGATTTCCCCAATCAAATTGCCAAAATCTCCATAGATTCCCCAAATCAAACCCAAACAAAAACTCCTAAATCAAATCCACAAATTCCTCTGCTGTGTTCTATTCTGCTATTTGAGTCCAGTTTCATAGAAGCTTGAGTAGAGTTTAAGGACATGTCATTAAAAAAAAAAAGAAAAAAAAGTAGAGTTTCATGACAAAGTGACGTTTAGATATGCATGCTAAAATTAAATTCAATAGTCGCAAAGTTCATCAATCACTTGGTTATCACGTTGTTTGTTTCAAAACACTATAGGTGTAAAAAAGAATAAATTATTTTTCTTAATAAATCACTTGCCCTTTGTGGTAATTTTATATATGGTATAAGAGTTTTTTTCTTTAAAATAAAATTGAAGGGTGTCTAAAGACGAAACCTAGGTGTACAAAAAACCACTCAAAAAATTAATGTTCAAATTTAAGATGATACAAAAATTAATTTTTGAGTAATTTATAACAGTAAGGCCTCATTTGGTATAAAGGATTGGATTGAAATTGATAAACCACTCCTTTAATGTATGTTAAAAGAAGAAACTAAAATGAGAGTTTGGAGGTAGAAGATAGATTGCTCAATAAGAAAAGTTATTCATTCCAATCCTGTCCAAAATGGGAAGTTGAGAAGAGATAAGTTTTGTTTGTATCTAGCCTAATCTCCTCAAAATGAAAAACATTCTACCCTACCTTCATAATACCTTGAATTTAGAGGATTATCTATTTCTACCCAATTCAATCATCTATATATACCAAACGAGGGCTAAGTGACAATTTGGATGGAAGAAAAAGAAATGGGAATTGGATCCTGTCCTTCAATTATTTGTCATTGTGGTTCCTTTTTTTTTCTAATACAGGCCATTTACACTTTTAAAAGAGAATCCAAAAGCTTATATGTCATGGACTCATGGCATGACAGCCCATAAATTTTTAACAATGCTTATTTTGATCAGCATCGGTGTTGGCAAACAAAGCTAAAAAAAAAAAAAACATAACACTAACTATACGAACATGAAGAAGCAAAATGTGTTGACCAAACAAGTACGGAAATGATTCTTGAAAATTATTACAAGGAGGACAGTTGTGCTATATGATATAGCTTTGATTACAACTACAAACTTTTTATTCGAGAGAATGAAATTATTATGAACTACGCTGGATGATTCAAACTTGGATATATAAGAAGGAACATAAACTTCTAGCCAACGTAACTATACCCAGACGTTATGCAGACTAACTTGTGCTACATTATTTCCTCAACATTTTGAATTAAACTTGGTGCTCTTCCACGTCATCTTTCGATGGTTCTGATGACCATGTTGTTTCTGAATCATCTTCATCATCCATTATTGGTTTCTCTTGTGGATATAGGAAAGGCTTTGGAGGCATTTCAAGGGACTCGATTTCTCCTTCGAGCATCTCTAGTACTTTGTTCATCGAAGTAGGACGATCACTAGGCTTCATTTGGATGCACCATAGAGCAACAATAAGCATCTTCTTTGTTATTTGATTTTCTTCTTCCGAGGCATCTTCACTTTCTATGTCGTTTCCTTCGCTGAATTGGTCAAAAACCCATGACGGAAAGTAAATTTGGCTTGAATGTGCTACATCTGCTTTCAAATTCTTTCTTTTACCTGCAATTTCCATCAGTAGCATTCCGAAACTATAGATGTCTGCTTTGTTAGACACACCTCCAATATTTTTGTAGAACAACTCAGGAGCTATGTATCCGATAGTTCCTCTTGCTGCCGTCAACGTTAAGATACTATCATCTAATGGACAAAGTCTGGCTAGCCCAAAATCTGAAACCTTTGGAACAAAATTGTCGTCGAGAAGAATGTTGTGAGGCTTGATATCAAAATGCAAAATCTGCATGTCACATCCTTGATGTAGATAACTGATACCACGAGCAACACCAACTGAAATTTCGAAAGTTTTCTTGCAACTCAAGGAGATGAGTCCTTCTTTAGGAAATATGTGTCTATCAAGAGATCCATTTGACATGAACTCGTATACAAGAGCACGCTTTGATCCCTCAGCACAGTAGCCAATTAGTTGCACCACATTTACATGATGAATCCTTCCGATGGTACCAACTTCATTGATAAAATCTTGTCCATTAGCTTTAGATTTACCCAGCATCTTAATTGCCACGAAGCGGCCGCTACGAAGCTTTCCTTTGTAGACAGAGCCGTAACCTCCTTCGCCCAATTTTTCCTTGAATCCTCTGGTCATTTTCTTGATGTCCGAGTAGGAGTACCTTATGGGCATGAGGTTGTTGTGACTTTGTAAGAATTCTTCAATTAGGACGTACATTGATAGGTGCCGCTTTTTCCATTTATAGATTAAAAGCCCAATCACACATGGAATGCCGAGTACAGTTCTTGCTGGAAGGACATATGTTACTGTAATGGAAATAAATAAGAATCAAGAGGAAATATTTTGAAATTGCATTCAACCGTCTCAAATTGAAAATTCATTTTGTATATAAAAACAAAAACAAGAAGTACTTACCAATGACTTGAAGCCAGTCAAAGATGGCTGCAAGAAATAAATTTAAATTAGTAGAGAGATAGTTTGGAAGGGTTCACCGATGGTAAAAAGTGAAAATTATAAAATTTCTCACGTAGTAGGTAGCCGTAAATGATCATCTTCAAGATGCCTGCATCATCCAAGAAAACATAAGTATGGATCATGTATGAAGAATATTGACATGAAGGAAAAAAAAATGAAAAAAAAAAAAGAAAACTTTAGTAAACCGGACAAGGAGACTGATTTTTCCAAAAATAAGAAAGTACATACCGTTAAAACTACAAGCTGCTTTCCCTGTGTTGTAATCGATGTAGCAAATACTCCGCCGACTATAAAATCTTCTTTTGCCCTGCAACCATGAAAGTTCAAACCCATAGACTAGCTCTTTGTGGATGTCTACATAGGAGATATTCATGTCGTTTGCACCAGGCCACGATGTTGCAACTGTAAGATCTATTCGGCACAAATCCCTCATATCCGAGGCATTTAAATGACCAATCTTAACAAAAACATACCCACTTAAGCTACTCATAAGACTAGTGCAAGGGGAAGTATCCACATAGAGCGGAGAATTTACTTGGGTTTCACAGGTCATGAAAATTATAGGCTTCGATAGTTCTACGCAATCTGTTTGATCAAAGAGATAAGGGTTCCATCTCGTTTTACCTGCAATTTGACAAATACTATATGGATGACCTCCAGCAATTTGGTTATCGAAGTTGTATTCTGCTAACGAGTGATGAGGCATTGAAGAGCAGTCACCCTCACGAAGATTGACGTCCACAATTCGGATTGTGTAGTTATCATAATTGATTGATTGGACATAGTATTTTCCTGAATACAAGTACAATACTGTTCGATTATTCTCACAAGACAGGTTATACCTTTGGTCACCACAGTTGTGCGGGTCATGTTTCAGTCGGAAAGGGTAGCTTATGTTGGGGATGATTCCACAGGAAGAAGGTGCACATTGATGACGATCATCCTTAGCACTGCAAACTACACAGAAAAAGCCAACAACTAGAAATACTGTGAATAAATTAGATGTAAAGGGTAGCATTCTTATGGCAGCCATGGTGAGAGAGAGGAAACCGGAGGTTTCAAATGCTAATAGCTTCCTCAGTTTGTGGTTAGGAGTAGATGATTGTGAACTTCATTAACTACTTATAAGCACATGCAAGACCCTCCTTTCCTCGATGTAAGATTCATTTCTGATGTGGAATTGAGGGCCATTGACCCTCTCTTCAGTTCATGAGCACAAGGCAGGCTACCAGAGGACGTGCCGAAGATATATAAAATATAAAGTAGAAACTTCATCGAAATTACAATAATCCAAATTTACTAAGTCAAAAACACATACTATATTAAATATCGGTCTAGACGTGAAGTAGTGAGTAAAATAGACAAAAGGATTGTTCCTTACTTTTGCGAAAGGGTACAACGAATTAGTGAATAAAATACACAAAATGATGCATTTTGGTGTGGAAAGTCAGGAAGGGAAGAACTCTTCTGGGGAAATGTATTTTGATGTGGACAGCCAGCTGTTCAGTCTTATCTGCTGAAAAGTCTGCAAATGGAAGAAGAATTCTTCTGGGGAAATGTAGGAAAACTCTTCCAGGAAAGCCAAAACCATACATTTTATTTTAGGTAGATTTTGGGAGAGTATGAGAAATTCTGGTGTGAACTCAAACATGACAATCTCTTTCTTCATCCTGTTGTTCATGGTAGGTCTCATTATTAACCTTGGAGCATGCCAAAATGAGTGCACAGAAGCACAATGCGGAGACCATGGTCCGCCTATCCGATTTCCATTTCGACTCAAAGACAAACAGCCAAGCCACTGTGGCTATCCTGGATTTGATTTATCCTGCGATCGAAGCAACAGCACGGTGCTTGAGCTGCCAGTTTCCGTTACGCTCTTCGTCACTAGTATCAACTACAAATCTCAGGTGATTCAAGTATTTGATCCAGATCATTGTGTTCCTAGATACCTTCCGAAACTTAATTTATCTTCCTCTGCTTTCATATTCCAAGAGCCGTACCTGTATGACTATACCTTATTTAATTGTTCACCAGCAAAAAGAGATCTATATTATGATTCAATCCCTTGCCTTAGTGAGACTAGCCATCATATATATCCTATACGTTCAGATAGGTTCGTTGACAGTCTTCCCCTTACATCTTGTACCAAGTTGTACAACTTTCCATTCAGTGTTCCATATGATATATTCGAACCAAATTATTTTCTTCGTTTGGAATGGTCCAAACCAACATGTAACCGATGTGAAAGGAGAGGTAAAGGATGTAGACTGAAGAACAACAATCGCACCAACTCCGAAACTGAATGCTTCAATGTAAAGCGAAACGGTATGGTCTTTCATCCGCATCATGTTTTTACTGCTTCTTCACATTTTTGATGCATTAATCATGCAGTAGTTAGTCAGACACTGCCCTTTTGCTCCCGCTGCTGAATCTCCGCAGTTATAAAATGTTCCTTTTGCAATTAAGAACTTGAGAATGTTCGGTAAACAAATATGTAATGATTTAATGATTTGGTACACATGAAGAACTAATGGGATTGAAATCTTTCTACAGGTACTGTGAAAAAACGAGTTGTTACAGGTTCGTTCTACATGCATTCACCATAAAGATTTTTATTTTTCCTTTTTAAATTTCGAAGTTAAGTGTAGAGGTTCTTAATTGAACTTAAAATATGCAGGTGCAGTCCTTGGTTCATTTTCACTTGTGCTGATACTTGTCGTACTCTATCGTGTATATACTTCTGACCGAATAGAAAAGCAGCACCAAACCATGATCGAAGAATTTTTGGAAAACTACAGAGCTCTCAGGCCTACAAGGTACTCATATGCAGATATCAAGCGGATTACAAATAAATTTAGAGACAAGTTGGGACAGGGAACATTTGGAACAGTGTTCAAAGGAAAGCTTTCGAGTGAGATCTTTGTTGCTGTAAAGATGCTCAACAATTCCAAAGGAAATGGAGAAGAGTTTATCAATGAAGTGGGAACATTAGGTCAGATCCACCATGTTAACGTGGTTCGCTTGGTTGGATATTGTGCTGATGGATTTAGGCGAGCCTTAGTTTATGAGTTTGCACCAAACGGTTCACTGCAAAATTTCATATCGTCAGCAGACAGCAAGAACTATTTCCTTGGTTGGGAGAAGCTGCAACATATTACACTCAGCATAGCCAAAGGAATTGAGTATCTTCACCACGGATGTGACCAACGAATCCTTCATTTCGATATCAAACCTCACAATGTACTCTTAGATGACAAGTTCAACCCAAAAATCTCGGATTTTGGTCTTGCCAAGTTGTGCTCCAAGGACCAAAGCGCAGTTTCCATGACAACTGCTAGGGGTACCATGGGTTACATTGCACCGGAAGTGTTCTCAAGGAACTTTGGTACCGTGTCTTACAAGTCGGATGTTTACAGTTTCGGAATGTTGTTACTTGAAATGGTTGGGGGCAAGAAAAATGTTCAAGTCCCAGAGGAGAATACCGGGCAAGTTTATTTCCCCGAATGGATCTATAATCTTCTGGAACAAGGGGATGACATACGTATCCATGTTGAGGGAGAGAATGATGCTAAAATTGCCACAAAACTTGCAATTGTGGGGTTATGGTGCATCCAATGGTATCCAGTAGACCGTCCCTCAATGAAAGCTGTCGTTCAAATGTTGGAAGGAGAAGATAATGTAAAATTGCCTCCTAATCCTTTCTCCCCCGCTGGTTCAGTAAGGAACGGTATTACTATGCTTGCAAAACGCCATCGCCAAGAGTTACCAATCATCTCCGAATTAGAATGACTGGAAATGATTGATCATAATTGCCGCTGTGCTGCAACTTGTAATCATATTAAATAAATTAGAGTGTTGAGAATAAATTGGTGAGAACATAGACTCAAATTTGGAGGTCAAAAATATCGAAAATCAGTGTGTTTGTGTAATACATCTCTCCTATCTCTTAGTTATTGCTGCATTCAGTTTTCTCTTGCTTATATATGTTGCATTCATAGCCCGATTGCTTATATTGCTTACGAACTCATCCTAGTTTACATTCATTTTTGTATCTGTAAAACGAAAACAACTGTTTTGTAAAACGCTACTAAACAAGCCCTAATGCATGCATGGATTACAATTTATACTCGCCACACGATTACGAAGAAGGCTCAGAATTATTGATGACGATCCTGCTGTAAAGGGTAGTACTCATTGTAGAAATTTTCAGGTCGACGGGCCGAGGGCCCACTCCAACAACACCAATACTGTCCCCACTTACTTAACCACCTGCACAATCCTCAGGTGTGGGGTTTTATCACAAAAGGCCTCGATGTTAGTTAGAGAGGGGTATTTCTATTTAAAGCACTTTTCTCTTCTCCCTCTGTCCGATGTGGGACTGGGGGTTCCAACACTCCCCCGCACGTGAGACCCCACTTATGGGTCACACGTGAATTTCCACACATCGGCAACCACGTGGAGCCATGTCGGGACTCACCCAATCACGTGGGGCCAATGGGGACCCACCCAAACACGTGGCATCTTTGGCCTACGTGGACAATCACGCAGGGCCAACGGGGACCCACCCAATCACGTGGCAGTACGGGCCCGCCTCCTGGCTCTGATACCATGTAGAAATTTTCAAGTCGACGGGCCGAGGGCCCACTCCAACAACACCGATACTATCCCCACTTAACCACCTGCACAATCCTCAGGTGTGGGGTTTTATCACAAAAGGCCTCGATGTTAGTTAGAGAGGGGTATTTCTATTTAAAGCACTATTCTCTTCTCCCTCTGTCCGATGTGGGACTGGGGGTTCCACACTCATCTCGCAACCACTATAAGGAACGGAGTATTCGACATCCATAGAAATAGCTTTCCTTAGTCCCACACGTTTACGTTGACTTATGGTGAGGAGAGATGATTGTGAATTTCAAGTATTTTAATGCCAAAATGAACAGCTAACTCATACCAGATTCTCTCCTGGATTCACAGCTCGAGGTCTGATTCGATCGTTGTCGTGCCAAGGTTGAAGAGCGAAGATTGAAATGGCGAAGTTTGGAGTGTGATTGGGAGACAGTGATAAGGGTGTTATTGGAATGTAGAAAGTTTCATTAATCATTTGCTCTGCATGTTTTGAAAAAGGATAATACCAAGTATACCAAGTTTTTTAACTAAATTTGCAAGTCAAATACTTTGGTTGTTAATGATTGAATAATTACTTAAGCATTGATTTACATGCTTATTTACTATTAGTGACACATCATTTGATTTGTAAATTTAATTTAAAATTTTGATCTTCCTAACATTTTTTTTTTTTTTTTTTTTGAAAAAAAAAACCAGCAGCGGCTGCTTTGACCGTTCTACTTCATTCACCAAAACTTCCTAAAAATAATCAATGTTGTTAAGTTTACTAAACGCGTTAAACATAAAAAAATTATAAAATAAACTGATTTTTCCACAATTCCAAATCAGTACTTAATCATGGTTGTCCAAGTCAATGCCGGAGCTTGCTAATGCCAGAAGAGTCAACTGACCCTCGTCACTCCTCTTAAATATATATCAAGAGCCTAAAAATAATCAATTTTGTTAAGTTTACTAAACGCCTTAAACATAAAAAATTATAAAATAAACTGATTTTTCCACAATTCCAAATCAGTACTTAATCATGGTTGTCCAAGTCAATGCCGGAGCTTGCTAATGCCAGAAGAGTCAACTGACCCTCGTCACTCCTCTTAAATATATATATCAAGAGAGGGAGAAACTTTTCATTATGATCAGAACACGGAAGATGCATTATGTGTGTTTTATATAAATGATGAGAAATTTTTATTTTTTTAAGTTATTAACTTTTTAACACATATATCTCACAATTTGTATAATAACACATGATGCATTATCCTATGTACCAATCATATTGAAAAATCTCTCCATCTGAGGGTCTACTAACCAATTACATTTAATTTGCTGAGCTAATTGGTGTATGACTTTTCCCCCTCTAATTTTGGTCCATCTAGAATTTATTTAATTTCATATTTGTTTGATTTTGTCAAATACTTTCAATCAACATCTACATCACAATTAAAATTCTAAATATTTCAAGACGATATTGTTTTTTAGTAAGGGGGGACAACTGGGGCAACTTACGGTTATCCACCCTCTTTGGGTTCGGAGAGGTTATGAAAAATTTCACTATGCCCGTGGCCACAAACAAGCACAAGATGATTTTGTTTGGGCGAGCGGATTCCACCACAAGACAACGGGTGGCAAATCACGGTTATCCATCCTTTTGGGGTCCGAAAAGGCTATGGAGAATTTCACCCTAACCGTGACCACAATCAAGCATAAGATGATATTGTTTGGGCGAGCGGATTCCACCACAGGACTATGAGTGTAAGATTAAACACTCTTTAACACTTGAGCTACAAGCCCGTTGATAACTCATAAGATACACCAAAGTATTTCATTTAGGATAAACAGGTTAAAATTTATGATTATACCTAAGTTAAGATCTTTTTAATCTTGTGATAATTTAAAGATCATTCTACGTAGCCTTTGTTGGCATATACTGTTCATGTGGAACTGTCAATGCTGCTAAGGACGATCAGCACCATTACAATAACATAACATAAATTCGACGCGGAACGCTGACTTCAGTGACCAGAAATCATTTACTAGTGTTTCTCAAGTTCATAAACTCGATATCAGATGGGGCGTCAGCTTCGCTTTCAAGAACATGGATCCGATTGAACTGCCAAAGCATATAATTTTCATGACCTGTGGGCATTCGCATTGCTCTCTCTCAACCCGATTCGAGGAATAGGTGCCGTGTTGAGCTTATAGTTATGACATCATGACCCGGTACAAAGAACATGAACATTTCCTACATAGACATCAACAATGAAACTGGTATACGGATTTGAACTCTCATGGTTGCAGAGCTTTGATATAGGTCGAAAACGGATTGATTACTAAATGACAAATATACCAACGAAATTAATTCAGCCAAGGTGACGAAAGAATTTCAATGCAGCTGCAGTTGCAGGCTTGCAGTCCACTGGGGTTTATGACCAATTCAGCGAAGGAGACGACATATAAACTGAAGATGCCACAGAAGAGGAAAAGGAAATAACAAAGAAGATGCATACGGAAGAGGAGAGTAGAGAGAGTTTGAAACAAAGATTAATAAGCAAAAGTTCAAGGTAACTTCATTATTCTTAATTCTTACTCACTTCGACTTTAAACTTCTCTCCTTACCCTCCCTCGTGCACCTTTAGTAGCATGTTAAACTTCACTTTATCGTCTATACCCTGCTTTCACAATGTAAACATGTAGAAATAAGCAAAAGTTCGAACAAACCGATCTTGCAAATGTTTAACCATATATATAACAAGATTTGAGCGTATCTACCATGTTCAATAAACCGATCTTGGAAGTTTTTGTCCTCGGGCCTCCTTGTCTTCCAATATAGAATATCTACGCGACTACAAATATAACGTGCCAACCCCTACTTTTTAATGGTTTTTTTACTTTACAGACCTTTCTTATCATTCTTTTTTTTTGAACAAGAAGATTCAGTCCTTGACCTTCCAAACTATGAGACGAAGAAGAATACAGAAATGCCCACCGCTATGAGGAAACTTACAATAACTGAACAAACTCGGAATGTTACTACTGGGAACCACTCAAGAGTCAAGAAAAAGGAGGACAAAAGGAGTATATTCACTGGATATACACGGTTAAGATGAGAAAGCAAGGTAGCAGGAAAACCTACGCCGGAGAGAGGATCCAAGTTCCAAGTTTTCAAATTGAGGGATCGATTCTATTTTTGGGTCTACATTGCTTATAATTGAATTTTAGAACATCTTAAACGATCAAATTTCTGCGTAAACAAAGGAACTTAAGATTCTTATTGTCAACTGCCTCCATCGAGCCTTGAATCTCTCCGTCAATACATTATTAAAGATCTCAAAATAGAGTAATCACCCCAGTAATATTCTAAATCCTAATCTACAACCTTATATGCTTTCTATCAATATCAATTCTCCGAAAACAAGTAAACATGTAGTTACTGAGATTAAAAGACAACAAAAACAAATGGAAGGGCAGAAACCTTGAAGACAAACTAGGAGTCCGAAACGAGCTTGAACTCCTGCAGTTGCTTGAAGTTCTCCCATCGCTTTACCCACACCTTGGCTTCATAAACATTCTTCTTTCCGCCATCGGTGGCCTCAATTTTCAGATGGTGCAGAGAGCCTGAAACCACTTGTACCTTTTCGTGCACTACCCTCACGAACTCCAGCAAAGCATTCTGCACAATATTCAACAAATCAATCAATAACTAATTAGGACTCTATTCAATTACAAAGCCATAAGCGCTTCTATTAATATTGCTTTCATTACAAAGCCATCGAATTTTCTTTAAAAATCCGGGTGTTTACTAGTAAAGCACTTCATGAAGAAGCATCCGGCAGGTGCTTCTAGAAAGTGCTTGTATGACTCAGTGGCTATTCAATTAATCAATCAATTTCTTCATTCAACTTCATTAACAATCTAAGAAAAAGCACTTGATGAAGAAGCATATGGAAGGTGCTTCTATAGAAAGTGCTTCTACGACGCCCCAAACAATCCATGGACAATTTTGATGCGAAGAAAAGGGTATGGAAGTGGAATGTACCTCCTTGTTGTTGTGTTCATCGATGGCAAAGCGAGCGAGGTTTTCGGTCTCGACGCTGTTGGCGAAACCTTCGTTTTCGCGGACTGTACCAACTGCGGCCATATTTGATTCTGCGGCGAGCTCTCTGTGCACTTTGACTTTCATATTTTTTCCTGTAGAAGAAGAAGAGGACTTTTGTGGCTGACACACCATGGCCGCAGCCATGGCTGCTACATATTGTGTGTTGTGCCATGCTTTATCTTCTTCGTTAGTCTCCTCATCTTCTTGTCTCATTTGCGTCCATTTTTTTTCAATTCGGAATTGGACGAGGACTCCGAGTTGGAATTCAAAGACGATTCAAAATTGGAATTCAATGTGAACTTGAATTGAAAGAGATTGAATTCAAATGTGTGTGAATTATAACCCAATATCTATCCTATTTATAGCAAACAAAAATTCAAATCCAACGGCTAGCTAGTTGATGTCATGCTGACGTTAGCTAGCGGTTGGATTTGAATTTGAATTTTTTTTTTCTACCGAATTTGAATTTTTTTTTTCTACAAATTTTTTTTAAAATATTAAAAAATTCTCAATTTTTTCCTATAAATTTAAGTTGTTCTAGTTTTTAAATTTAATTTGTAATTTTTAAACATAAGTTGTAGTTTTTAAATTTAAGTTGTTGTAATTTTTAAATTTAAATAATAAATTATGTTTGGCCCTTTGGCCCTTGGTTGGAGATAGTTTTTTGTGACTAGGCTAAAACGAGCCCTATAATCCTTTGGCCCTCGGCTGGAGATGGTAAGAAATATGGTCATGCACTGTTCAATAAAATATTAATTTTCTGAAGGGTTAAAGGGCTAAAACGAGTTATCTAGCTCTCCTTCAATTGGAGATGGCCTTAATACACTCTCTCTGTAAGGATCCTCTGATATCTTGACACAAGTTTGCTTTGTCTGTAAACTTTGTTTTCTTCTTGTTTTTGTTTTTGCGTTGCTTACTGTCAACTCAGTTCGATATTATGTCATTGGTTTTATTACACATCAGTATCATGCCTCTCATGGCTTGAATCGTGCTAGATTTACAGTTTTCTTTACATTCTTATACCTCACCTAGTCATGTTATTTGGCCTGTGGCCAATGCATTTCTTCTCGAGAATGGTATTCCTGTTTTAGCAATGACGTGATTAAAACCAATCTTCCTTCATTTCACTTTTTCTGTTTACATTTATTTTTTTAATAAACGATATTATCTATATAGTTACGTTTAACCTCGTAATAGGATAGCAATAATATGGTTCAAATTCGCCTCTCGTGAAAATCGAACCTACCGTCTCTCACTTACAAGTGAAGAATAATACTACTAGACCGTAATATTAAATGACACTTTATTTACAGTTTAGGCTAGCATATCACACATTTAGTTCTAAGTCCTCTAGTCTTCGAGGAATAAAAACAAAACTAATCGAACCAGCGTGGCATTCACTACTCACTTGTTTCGTTTAGTTAAGAGGTTAAATATAGCTAGACTGAATCTATTTGCAAGTTCCCTACGAATGATTACATTAAGTATCAATAAGGGTGATTGAAAAACGTAAATTGACCGATAACCCGGCAGCGCGGGACGAAGCATCATTTCAGATAGAAGAAACTGTTCATTACCTTGCATTGTTTTCCTGTAAGTGCATTCTCAACTAGAGATGGTTTATCGGAGCTTAAAGTAGTATTAGCATTTAAACACACACATTATTTAGATGCACAAAACAGCTTAGTCTTCGGTATCGGGACATACAAGGTGTACTAAAGGCAAGCAAAGCATGTGCACACACATTCAGTTAGTTTACTTGGATTTAGGAGTGATCTGCCTCCATCTGATTCAGACTGAAGGTGCCTTCCACATTCTTATGCACTTCGGCTTTAAACTTCTCTTCTTTGCTTCCCCTCTTCACCTTCAGAAGCATGTTAAACTTTGCATGCTCTTCTGCCACCTGCTCCCCATAGTTTACACACAAACAATTCAGTATATTAATCCCACCGAGCTCAACGATGATATCCAGAGAAAGCATTCACATTTAACCGAGTCTATTATTTTTGAAGTACAACACGGCAAGACCTCAAAACAGAAAAGAGCGAAAGAATTGACGTGTGTACTGAATGCAAAATTGACAAGGGAACAATGTGTTTTAATCTTCTGAATTGCCTAAAGGCTAATCCAAACCTCCTATCCCAACAACAACAACACCACCACTTATCCCGCTAAATGTGGTCAACTAAATGAATCCTAACACGCCATTGCACTTGGTTTTGCGCTAGGCGTTCCGTTAGCTCCCAGTACTTTGTGACTTCTCTTAAGAGTTTTTTTCCAAGTCTCCCTAGGTCATCTTCTACCACTTTTTGCCTTGAGATCGCATCTTCTAATACATTTAATGGTTTTTTCGTACTCAATTCGACACATCCAAATATTGGACCCATTACACACTACTCAAAGTGCATTTAAATGAACTTGAACCCCATTCCAACACAACCAAATACTATCCCCCAATCCCCAGTTCTCCAAATTGCAATGAAATCGATTTTCATACTCGATCTCAACACGAAATAATACAATTCTCCAAACTGCAATTAAACGCCAATCTAGCACAACCAAACACTGTCCCCAATACCCAATTCTCCAAAATCCATTTCGAAAAATTTTAGCATGCAATTCAACACAACAAGAAACTACCCACAATACCCATTCTTCCAATTGCATTTAGGTAGATTTTAATACCCAATTCAAAACAAATACTAACCCCTAATACTGAAATGGAAAATGAAAGGGCACAAACCTCAGCCTGAGCGTGAACAACTTCTTGAAGCTCATAAGGCAACAAGGAATTAGACTTCTGCTGGAGGGACTTAACAGCATGGTTAGCCGCATCCTGCACCTGCGGGTCATGCGGCGGCACAGATTGCCACCCAGGAGGATGACCGCCTTGCTTGACGCCAAGATCGGAAGAGGTAACCGACGGCGTTTCCTCCTCATCAGCGTGCTTGAACTCCTGCACTTCCTTGAAGCCCATCCAAGGCTTCACCCACACCTTTGCTTGGTACAGCTTCTTCTTGCCGGCCTCGATCGCCTCGATCGTCAGATGGTGCAGAGTTCCGGCAACCACCTGTTCTTTCGCCTTCACAACCCTCACAAATTCGAGCAGAGCATTCTGCACAATTATAATTTAATTAACCAAATCGTTAAATTAATCGAAATTGTTGCATAATTAGGTAAAGAAAAAAAAAAGGGAAGGAGGGTAAACTAAGTACCTCCTTCTTGTTGTGTTCTTGGACTGCGAAGCGAGCGAGGTCTTCAACTTCAGCGCTGTTTTGGGCGCCGTGGGATTCGTGTACTCCACCGGGTGTGGCCATGTTGCGGTGGGAGGTGTGGCCGCAGCCGATTCGGGTGGATGATTCTTCGGCGGTGGATGAGAATGCGGGGAGGAGGAGGAAGAAGGAAGCGATTAATAGTGAGAGATAAGATTCCGATTTCATCTGCGTTTTGTGTTTGGGGGTTTTTTCGAGGGCTTGCAGATTGGAATTTATTGCTTTCGGTGATCGGGATTTTTGTGGTACGTGTCATACACGTGTCGATCCCAGCACCAACTTTGCTTAGTCTGTAAGCAACCCCAACTCATGCAGTTTTGGACACAGAACCACATTTCTGTCGGGCATTTCACCAAACGGACAAGGATCCTCTACGGATGAATATAATGCGTTATACGATTAGAAATTATTTAAAATTTAAAATTTAAAATTAAATATAAATAATATCTAATAAAAATTGATCGTAAAATATACAATGAACAAACAAGATTAATTGATCTGTATAATTCGTTTGTGGATCCGGAGAGGGGATCCTTGTTCTCACCAAACACCTTGTGGGCACTTTGCAAAGGGGAAGTGACTTTGTTGGGAACGAATGCTTTGGAGGAGGGTGCAAGAAAGACAGATGGGTCTGACCGTACCTGTCGAAAACTTATGACATGCCGAGCGAGTGAGAATTGTTCTGTACAGACAGACTGTTTTGATGATAGTATTTGTGGGCAAAGAGGGTCAGCCATGCAGTGTTTGTACATCGTGTAATTAGTTTTTATTATATAATATTTAAATTTAATTTTAAATTTTAAATTTTAAAATAATTTCTGATCGCACGATATACGATAAACAGTTATTATCACGAAATTTCTATAATTCCCGAAAAAGAATCCAACAAGATTCTTTTCTAAAGTTAAGGCTATCTTCAAACAGAGCTTGCTCAACCGTGTATATTTTAAATTAATCATTAATTTAATTAAATTAAAGTTGGATATTTTTAAATTTTGGCATTGAAATGAAATAACATTACAATTGAAGAGTTGGGTCTCAAAAAAAGACCAATAGGAAGCTACATTTGACTAGCTTGATACCTCTTTGGTTAGAGATGAGTTTTCCTAACAAATTAAGCTTTTTTTTTTTTATATACCTTTAAAGCCCTCCATTAGAGATGACCTTAAAAATCAAAGAGTTGGGAAATCGTTTTCAGCTTTGGAGGGTATTTAACGGGTGAATCCATGTCGCTTAAACCGCAATGCATACCTGCATTGACGTACAGTAGAACGAACGCTTGCCAACCATTTGTGTGAACCCAAGATAATACAATTTCTATGCGAAGGAGAGATGAAATTTAACACCAAATTGTATGCAACTTCTCTGATGATCGGAATATGAGAAATCGGTACCTTCCGTCATGGAGGCGAGTCCAGGGAAGGAGGGCGCACTCACAAACAACGCTAAACCAGGAACATATAACGCAGGGGAAGGCCATTTGTAACTATAAAACTTCTATTTAGTAGTACAACATACATATTTACTGGGTTCTTTCCCAGCTAATTGAAAACACATGAACTCCCTTTTTAGGCCTTTTGGTTTCGGGAGAGAAAAAAGTTCAACATACAAGCTGAAGCTGCAAATTCAACGATAGGGGTAACGATAAGGCTCTGCTACAACGGTAGTCACAGAGTACTTACAGAAAACATTTTAAAAACTGGCACGTCCATAAAACAAGCGCTTGTGCTATTATAAAGATGGAGGAAAAAAACACGAGTCACAAAACTTACTCGCGTAGCATCCTCCGATGTAATAGCTAACGAGCGGAAAAGAGATCCCGTCATCAAAACCCGGGGTGGGGAAAAGTTAGACAGGAGATGTCTTCCTATTAGTGACCTGAGAATGCAGAATCGTACGACGAAGCAGCAAATATCCACAGCACAGACTTTCTGCTCCCTCGTTCTTTCAGCTGTCCCTTCTTACAAATACTATCTGTGAACTAGAAAGAAGCTGGAACGCAAAGTTGCTTGGTTTCGGCTTCTCCTCAGCTTCTTGATGGAGCTTTATCTGTAATATATTAACAACTAAACAACATTAGACAAGATATACGGCAAAGGCAAAAACTAAGCAGTTGTTACTAAGTATACATCTAAGACAAACATATAAACGAGATATGAACCCCAAAATGTTTACGTCGTGTGCACATCCTTCCAACAATCTTTGTATAGAGTGTGAAAAGTAGGTTAGTAAGAGAAAAAAATTGAGAAATAGATGAAAAATAGTTTCACAAGCTAACATCAGAATTCCTTCTTTCGTCCACAATTCCTTCTCTTCCAGGACGAAAGTTTCTTCGTGTCCAGTTTAAGCATGCAAGTGCTTTTTGTTTGCCAAGTAAGACACAACCTTATATTATTAACAGTTATAGGGCGACATGAGTTCATCTCATGGTGTTTCTCCCAGATGGAGAATCTAGATAGTAGGTCGGTTCGTAACAAATTGTACTACAGAAGGACCACAGGCACTTTTATAAGAAACAACAGTTGAAGTGATAGTGCAGCATTTCCACTGAAATCATCAAACTCATCCATTTTATGATTGATGACCTTCTAGATAAGAAGAAACCAATTGAAAACGATCTGACAATTCGGAATGATACTCAATACCTAAGAAACACCGATTATAAAACCCTCCCACCCCCATAGGCACATCAGTCTCATAAAACAGTATAGTGGTTAGGTCAATGTTCAGTATCAAGTTACTAATGAAAGTGCATGAAGGCAAGATACAAGAGATGAAAATTATTTTCTTGGAAAATCTTAAATGGTTGCTGACAAAATAAGGTATTCAACATCGCCGTTGACAGAAATATTCCAGGTCAAAAATTACAAAAAAATTAAGTTAAAACTCAATGTAAGAAAAAGGTAACTACAAGAAGAATATCACAATTTAAATTGAACTTAATAACAATTTTATTGTATAAATTGTTTACTTTTAACTGAAAAATGTGATTCAAGCCCCCAAGAGCCTATCTGTGAGCTCACCTCTGTATCACAATTTTAAATATAGTTGTCATTGGACGTCGGGAATTCAAAACTAGTGTAAAGATACAGGGACTTAACACATTCAACTCTAAGTTCATTATCCCAAGTTTAACATTGAAAGTAAATTTCTTTCTGCAGCAACTTTTAAGACAAAAATTGCTTATAAAGGAAGTTAAAGAGAAACGGACAGAGAGTTAAAAACAAACAGTACAAACCTCATAGTGTTCAAGCAACGAAGCGAATAATGTTGCAACTCCTTCAATTACAAATTTCTGGCCAATGCAGGCACGCATGCCAGAGCCAAAGGACAGGAACGCTGGATTTTTATCTGGATCATTCAAAACGAAGGAGCTCTCTCCAGTATGCACAATTTTTTCAGCAGGCCCTGAGAACAATTAAGAACCAAGTTTTGTCACACACAGAGCATGTTATAACATATTATAGAGATTAAACTCCCTATCATGTAGTTTAGGATAGTGAATATGTCAATTCATACCCAAGCTAACTCTAAATTCGCATGGAAAAAGTGGGTTCTAATTCTATACAGATTAAACTCCCTAGGGTTATTAAGGATGCTTATATCAAACAAAATTCTCTCTACGGTTATTTTGTACAGAGTAAACTCCCTATCATTCAGTTTAGGACAGTGAAGTGTCAATTCATATCCAAACTAAGTTTAAATTCGCGTGAAAAAAGCAGGTTCTATACAAGAATATTCATTGAATATAAAATCCGCAAGTCGTGTAACAAAATAGGATAAAAGATTGGAAAGGGTAAATGATATAATAAAGTAAAAGCCATATACTGCTGCTGCATTTGCAAAAAAAAAAGGGAAAGGCAAAGTATGATTAGTTAATACTGGTATAAATGAAAATGTACTGTAGGGAACTTGAAAACTATATACACATCATGGGAATCGGTAGGAACGAAACCTGAGAATGATTTATTGAGCAATATATCAGATCCCTCTCTAGACCTCGCTAAAAAGCGATATGGATTAAATTCACCGGCATCACTTCCCCAGTTGTAATCATTCATCTGTACCAGCTGTACGGGTACAACCACCCCTGCTCCAGCTGGTATGGTTGCACCACCTTTAAGATTCAAGTCTTCAAAGAGAAAAGAAAGAAAATCAATTTAAACGCCTATTCTAGTAAAAAATGAAATCACAACCATCATGGAAGAGGGGAGAGGGGGTAGATGATGTTGAACTTAGCACCACAATTGGATATGCTGCAACTAAAGATAAGTAAGAATCTCAAGAAGCATTGTCTGAACGGCATTCACACACAACACACAAAAGCAGAAATGTGGAGTGACTGATATCTCAATACAGAAAATTAAGCTTCTAAGAAATTGATTAGAAGTTTTACCATGTTTGAGAGAACATCTCTGTATCAAAGATCCAGGTGGCACAAGACGAGCAGATTCGTAAACAGTTGCCAGTAATAAAACCAACTTATGAATATCCAGTTGGCCTTCTTCCATTGAACTATTTCGTGCCATAGTTATCTCCGAGTAGATCTTTGGAAACATAAATAAAGAAATTTAGGACAATAACAAGTTAATGCTTGTGATGCACACAAAATCACAATCATCAATATCACAAAAACCCAGTAGATTTTCTAACATGTTTACTTAAAGGGGTCTCCAAAGTTACAACCAGACTAGCCATGAATTTCCCTGTGCCACTATGAAAGACAACTACCCTAGCAAAGTTATGATATATGTCAAGAATTCTGATTGCCAAGTGACCATTTATACAAAAAAGTACCATATAAAATTGCCGGTTGTCCCGCCACAACCTCTGTATTTGACTCAGTTTGGATATGCCAATCAGTTTAATTTTCAAAACATTGGTCAATATCATTGTGAGTTTTCATTCCTACAATGATGAGTAGTGATTGTCTTATATAGTCACTCAAACTGATACTGCTTAAGATGAATACGTAATAACACATGAAACCTATCTACTATCTAATGAATAGAATTGTAATAAGAATAATAAATTATCATTATAACTCAAAAAATTATAATGAACTATCACTATTATTATCATTAGCGAGAGCCGTCTCTAATATGGGGAAGCTTTAATTTTTTTGGTGGGGGGTGTGTTGAGGGACTTCAAAAACGGAGACAGAAAAATCGTA